GGGACGATCCTGGCTTACTGAAAGCTCTACATCCCAGGTTAAAGTGATTGTCCTGCCTCAGCCTCCTGAGTAGCTGGGACTACAGGTGCGTGCCACCACACCTGGCTAATTTTCATATTTTTAGTAGAGACAGTGTTTCATCATGTTGGCCAGGTTGGTCTCGAACTCCTGACCTCTGGTAATCCACCCACCTCAGCCTCCCAAAGTGCTGTGATTACAGGCATGAGCCTCCACACTGGGCCCTATGAAACATTTTTAATCAAAATGGTCATTTATAAACAGAATGGGATTAAAAACACACACATTTATCTTCTTCCCTCACATTTAGCTCTGCAACTTATAAGTTTTCTCCTTTGTATTTTAAAACAATTTGTAATAAAAATATTTAAGAAGTTCCCCTCCTACAAAAAATACATAAATAAAAGGAAATGGAGTTATCAGGCAATGTTCAGGGAGTGAAGAGACACGCTGAAGCTATAGCTCAGAGAACTAATAAAGACAGGTCCTCTGCAATCTAAAAAATGCCTATGAACTCGGGGATTTGAAATCAGGAAAAAGCAGTCTCCCGTCCCTGTCCACGTAGTTTAAGCACAGTCCTGGCATCAATTAAGCTGAAGACAATTTTAGACACAAAGGATAGTTCATTACTAGCCTGAAGTATATTTATTTTGGCTTATAACTTGCTTTGAAAGTTCTGTGTAAATTCTTCTTTAAATGTGACTTTTAGTTAACTGATATGCTACTAATCAAGGGTCCTAGTAGTTAAAAATCTGAGGAAGACCAGATTTCTGTATCTTTGTTTTACATCAGATCACTTTGTAAAAAGACAGGAAAGAAATAAGAAGAATTATACCATCTTATATTTGCAAATACTTTCATGTTATCTCATTTAATTAAAAAAAATCAGTTTAGAGATGCACAAATTGAAGAAACACCAGAGATTACGTTGGATTTAGAAACAATTTTGTTAGAGAGGAATTAGAGTCAGAGGAAAAAGGAACATGTACTTTGCAAATTAGTGACAGTTAAGATAAAACGAGTGCTTTACAACTTCTGAGATTGTCAGAATGACTTTCCAACCCATCCCAAGAACCCCAAGTAACACTCTGCAATTTGCTATTTCTGTGGAAGTCAGAAGACTGGTAACTCACAAAATTATGTAAACATATATAAAACTTAATAGTGAGGTGAGATTAAGACTTTCTTCCCAACTTTCTGCAATGACCATCTCACTTAAATATCAACTAATGTAATGTTTAACAGAAGAAACATGAACAAGACTGCTACCAGAAAAACAAGTTTATTTTAGCTAACTTTTAAAGAAAAAAAAATAGCTTATTCACTCATTCACATGCTTGATATGCAGAGCAAGCATTTGGAATGAAACCTGAAAATTCCATCAGGAGAAAAAAAACCAATGAACTGGCGAATCTCAGATTACTTCTTGATTATCAAAAGACAACATGCAAAAATAAAAAATAAAAAATTCTGCACCTCCCTCTTTTTAAAAGTTTTGCCAGTACTGCAGTTCTTCCCAGCTGCTCATAAAAAACGCCTGGTTAATTCAAATCTGTTCCCGTAATACTCCTTGAAACAAACAGAATTACTGTCTATTATTACTGAACTAATACTCTCTAGGTTTTTATCTATTTTTTTAAAAGAGCATTTAGAAAAAACTTTTATAAACTTTGTATAATTATTTGCTGTTGACCTGCCACCATTCCTGGCTAATTGAAGGTTTCTCAAACATTCCACACTATCTTAAGTTCATACTATAAGGTAGACCCCAAAACTAGGCCCTATCTCTTCCTAGCCAATTCTATTTAGTAGAGATCACATATGCTCTTCAAGCCAAAATTCCTGTTTTCACTGTAATTTATGAGAAAGAAATGATCCTCCTGTTTGCTAAGTGGATCTTCTCCAACTACCTTCACCTCCTTGTCTATTCCTTTCACTTTCCTTTTTTTTTTTTTTTTGACATGGAGTTTCACTCTTGTTGCCCAGGCTGATACCATCTTGGCTCACTGCAACCTCTGCTTCCCCGGGTTCAAGCGATTCTCCTGCCTTAGCCTCCCAAGTAGGTGTGATTACAGATACCTGTAACCATGCCCAGCTAATTTTTTGTATTTTTAGTAGAGATGAGGTTTCATCACGTTGGCTAGGCTAGTCTTGAACGCCTGACCTCAGGTAATTCACCCACCTAGGCCTCTCAAAGTGCTGGGATTACAGGCGTGAGCCACCGCACCCAGCCCCTTTCATTTTCATTCTGTCTACACAGGCTCCCTCTTTTCAGTAAATAAATTTGGAGGTTCTTTCTCCTAAAAATTACCTCATCAGTGAGGAAAGGAGGGAGTGGGGCAGAAAGGCCTGAATCTTTAACCTCTTGCAATTTGAGTATTGTCTCTGCTGTTCATTAAAATTCTTCATGTGTGCTCATCACCAAATCCCTTTCTTCCCAGTCCTCATCCTATACCTCTAACCTAGCCAGCTGTATTTCTGTCTCCTTTGCTGGCTCATCTTCCTCCCTAAAATAAAAGGTATTTCCTGAAAATGAGCCTACTCTTTCCCACAACTTCAGCTATTCATATTTACCCTGCCCTCTCACTGGCTCTAGTCACTCATTTCCAGCCACCTATCTAATATCTCTCTCCCGATGTTCTGCCTGTACCTCCGAGTCACATGTCCAACACCAAAACCCTTACCTTTTCTTCCCTGCTCCCCTAAACCTCTTTTCTCAGCTTCTGGTCACCGAGTCTCAATCTTTGGACAAGGGTACCAAGAAAGGAAGAATAAATTCACTTGCCAGGAACCTAGAGTTTGCATCACATATCTCAAGTCTGTCCGCTCTGTTCTATACCACTTTACATGAAAACCTCTCCTCTGAACTGCTATAACACTCTCCTTCTGGTAGTCTTAACTCAAGTTTTCAGCACACACTATTGCTAGAGAAACATTCCTTAGGCATAATTTTAATCAAACCTGGCATTCAGGATACTCTACCCAACATTTCTCAAACTTTAACATCAATGTGAATCAAACGGTGAGCTTGTTAAAATGCAGATACTCTCATTCAGTGAGGGTGGGGTGGTGCCTGATTCTGGATTTTTAACGTACTCCCAAGTGACGATGATGCTATTAGCATCAGGCTATACATATACACAATCTGCTCTAACCTATTCTTCTAGCCTCATCTACTTTTCCCTGCCTAGCATACATATGTGCATATGTGTATCTCTTACACACACACACACACACACACACACACACAGAGAGAGAGAGAGAGAGAGAGAGAGAGAGAGAGAGAAAATGTTCTCCAAACATAATCTCCAGCCTCTGTGACTCTTGCTGTTTCCTAAAGTCCTGTGACTGTCCGTTACAATTTTACCCATTTTTCAGGAACCAACTCATTCTGCCATAACCTTCTCTTATCTTCTTACCTACCTCACTCCCATACCCCATCTAGTAGAACACCACAAAAACATTGGGACATCCCTGGCACTGGCACTGTTTCTGGTCTATAATGCCATTATAGGTCTTCTTGTTTCATCCTTACTGTTAGACTGCACACTCTCCTGGAAGGCCAGGACTACCTACCTAACCTCTGTCACCTAGGGCATTGGGCTCTTGTTAACCACCGAGTATCTGTTGAAGTGGATTTGAATTCTAAGAAAAACAAAACATCTCAACTCTACTTCATGTAATTCATTTTGAGCAGGAGCTTCAGAAATTTATTTATGATAAACAAAAATACTCTTCCAGGAGAACTGACTCATTAGCAAACCTAAGAAAACTTTGTTCTGTATTTTTTTTTTTTGACATATAAACATTCAAATGATGCTCAGAGAATTTTGGTACTTATCACATTTGCAGTAGTCTCCAGGTATATAGATTAGAGTTCTAATATTAATTTAAAATTAAATCTAATTTGTTGTGATCTTGCAATGACTGTATTTTAAGACTAAAATATGTTTCAATCCAGGGCCTAGCCCTCCCTGGTTTAATTTACTTAATGCTCCTTTTAACACTCCCTTTGTGAAATGAGACCGCACTGTCTCCTCAGACATAAGATTGGCTGCCCCCAGAATTTACTGTTAATATGCCTTACATTTGTGTCTAGACTTTGAAAAGTGCTTTAAAACAAGCACCTTGAAGTAACATTTTTAAAAGAATGCTTAGAAACTCAAGAAAAAAAAAAACCCTATATTCAATGTTTATACAGTAAACCCCTTATTCAAGAACCTAACCATGGCTCCTAGGTTCAAGATCCAATATTCACGAACCTGACTATAGCTCTTAAACTTAGCGTCCAAGAATTAACCGGAGGGCTTGTGAAACATGCCCATGACAAGTTTTTACCCAGGGAATGTCTGATTCAGTGAAAGTGAAACTGGGGTGGGGCCTAGAAAACTGTAGGTTTCACCAGCATCCCCAGGTGATTCGGAGGCAGGTGTTCCGCAGATCTCAATTAGAGACACTGATCTCAGTCCTTGTCCGGGGACACTACAGAGTTGTGTTTGAAGGAAAATGCAAATGTCTCTTGCTAAAGTCCTTTCTCAAAACAGCTATCACGCCAGCACAGACAGGAGGTGGCGTGCGTAAGGAAAACGAGGGAAAGGTTCCTTGGAAGATAATCAATGCCCGAAAACAATGAAAGAGGGGAAGTGGCGTTTCTTTACAACCCCGGAACTCCATCCTTCGAGCATCTCCCGAACCTGCGAGGATGCTGCTCTGACCCGTCCGTCGGGACCAGGCACTCGGAAGCAGAGCCCAGGTAGGTCGCTGGCCGAGGGATGGCAGGGCGTCGTGGCCCCGTGCTCGTTCCCAGGTCGCCAGCTGAACCTCTGCAGCCGAGGGAAGACGCCCGCCAGCAGGCTCCCAGGTCTCCGCCACTGCCCCCCACCCCGCCCCCTCACCCCGCCCCCTCACCGCCGCAGACCCTGCATCCTCCCGCGTCTCGCGCGCGTAAACAAGTCGCCTTCCCCGGGTCGGCAGCCCCTCACCTGCCGCGCGGTCGCAACTCTGCCTCATCGTCGGGTTCCGGACTCCGCGGCTCCTGCTCGCCCGCGGCCGCCGGCAGCGCCTCAGCGTCCTCCACAGTCACCTCGGCCGCAGTCACGGCCCCCACGGCCGGTACTCGCGCCGGTGAGGTGGGAGCAGCGGCTGCCCCGAGGCCAAATGCCGCCTCCGCCGTCGGCGCAGGGAGATCGCGGGCGCGCCCCGCGGGTACTGTCCCTGCCGCGAGCCCCAGCAGCAGCGGCGGCAGCAGCAGCGCCCGTACCAGCAGTCCCAGTTGGGCGGCTGGCTCCATCAGCGGCCCGCCCCGCGCGCAGGCATGGAGGCGCAGCCACGGGCGCCTGCCTCTCCCGCCGCTCGGAACTCCCACCAGGGCAAGGACACGCTAGGGACCCTACCGTCACCCCGACGGCCTGGACAGCCAGCTGTGTTCCCGGGCCACGTCTCAGCCCGGCCTCCGCCGCTGCCACCTGAGTGACAGCCTCTCTCGGACATCGCCCATTGAGCAAACTTTCCCCGCGTCTGCTCCCTCATTGGCTGCGGCCGCTGCCACTCAATGTTCCCAGTCTGGCCCTGTTAGGGAAGGCAGACTTTCCCTGGTTGTCAACATCACGCCTACCAATCAAATCGTAATTTCGTCGTTCGAGGTCGGTCCCTATTCCGGATGCAATTACCAATGAGAAATGCCCCTCCCCGCCGTTTTTTTACCTGATTGGTGCACTTATCCGTCCCCGGAATACCTTTCCTGCAACGGATTGGCCATGGCGGTGATTGGCCTCGCCCCTCAAAGCGAGGCGCTGGAGAACACTTGAAGATTATTGGCAGAAGTGGATGTCCCTCAAAGGTCTGCGCTACCTGCCTTTTGATTGGTTGGAAGCGGCACTTACTACGTGGCGGATTCTGACTGTGAAGAGGCCAGTCCCAAGTGAAGAGTGGGAGGCAAGTCCCTTGTGACCGAGAAGAGGTCGACCTTAAAGGAGCTGGCATTGTAGCTCTTCTAAAGCCTAGTCTACTTGGGAAGGCAAAAGCGAAACAGGAAGAAGTGGCCACAAAAGTTGTGTGGTCTCTAGAAGTAGAAGGGTAAGGAGGGTGCATGGTCCTACTTGCGGCCCCAACGGTGCTCACAAGTCCGCTTGTTAGAGATGGCAGTGATCTGCGACAATCCAGTCCACCCGACACGCCTCCCGCCTCCTTAGGAACGGGAAGAAGCCCCAGCTCAGTGCGCTGACGTCTTTTGCCTGAGATCACATAGCTAGTTGGTCACAGAATCATGACTTTAATTCATGTCTTCTGACTCTGAACTGGCATGCTTTGTACCTCACCAAAGTCAGTGATGAAACTGCAAAAGGGCAGACTGGAGAAGATTGGAATGTTCAGCCAAGGCATTTGAACTTTTAATTCAACAAATAAGGACTTCCTGAAGATTTTTGAGCAGATGAATCAAGTGATAAGAAAATGCATCTTCAGCAGTGACGGCATCAATGATGAGGAGACTGGCCAGGTGTCTGTTGCCTCCATCAAAACCAGTGAACATTTTAAAAAATTAAAAAAAATTTTTTTTTAGAGACAGGGTGTTGCTCTTTTGCCCAGGCTGGAGTGCAGTGGCTTGACTATAGCTCACTGTAACCTTGAATTCCTGTGTTCAATCGATCTTCCTGCCTCAGCTTCTGGAATCGCTGGGACTACAGACGGTTGCCACCGGGTCAGGCCAGTTTTTAATTTTGTTGCTTAAAGATGGGGTTTCTGTGCTGGCCAGATTGGTCTCAAACTCCTGGCCTCAAGCCATCCTCCTGCCTCAGCCTCCCAAAGTGCTAGGATTACAGGCATGAGCCATTGCACCTGCTCCCAAACCGGTGAAAATTAACAAGGTGTTGGCAATATGGGTATATATAGATTATCCTTCATCTTCATAAAAACATGCTCTAAGCTCTCCCCGCCCAAAACAAAACAAACAAGAAATCCCCACTTCCCCTTCCAGCTCCTACCACGTCTTTGTTCCTCTGTACGGCAAAACTCAAGTGTTCAAAATTCCTTATCTTCAATTCCTCTTCTCCCATACCCAAGCACACTACAGTTAGGCATTCACACCCTCAACTCCACCAAAACTGAGCTTGCCGAGGTCACCCGTGCTGTAGTCAAAGGATAATTCCTGGTCTTCATTTTGTCAGCTGTATTTGAGTCAGCAACTCAAGTCTTTCCTGTTTGGAACACTTTTCACTGGTCTTCTTGCTTTCCATAGTGCAGGTCATAACCCTCAAAAATTCCCCCAGTTCACTCAGGATAAAAGCCAAGTCCTTACAATAGACTACAGGGTGCTGCCATATCTGGTTCCTATAGCTTTTTGGATCTCATTTCATACTGTCTTTGCACACTCCATCCTGGCCACTGGCCTCAGCTAGCACAGTTTTAGAGTTGAGGGTATGAATGCCTGACTGTAGTGTACTTGGCCACATTGGCCTCCTTGCTGTGACAAAGCTGACCAAGTTCCACCCTGGGGGTTTCCCTTTGTTGTTTTGTTTTGTTTTCCTGCCTAGGAAACTCTTCCCAGATATATTAGTTTGCTAGAGCTGCCCTAACAAATACCACAGACCAGGTGGCCTGGACAAGAGTTTATTTTTTTGAAGTTCTGGAGGCTAGAAATCCAAGATCAAGGTTGGATTCTGAGGCCTCTCTCCTTGGCTTGCAGATGGCAGCCCTCTTACTGCCTCTTCCCTCTGCACATGTGTGCTTCTGGTGTCTCTTCCTATTCCAACACCAGCCAGACTGGAGTATGAGCCTACCTTTAAAAGCCTAATTTTGACTTAATCACTGCTTTAAAGATCTTATCTCCAAATACAGTGTAGTTACATTCTGAAGCACTAAGGGTTGGAACTTCATCATATAAATTTTGGAGGGACACAGTTTTTCACATAATACCCAGGTACCCCCAAGCTGTGTTCCCTCACTTTATTTGAGGCTGTGCTAATCCCAGTAAAGTCTCTCCTCACTACCTTATTTAAAATGAAAACCTTCACCACCTTCCTTCACTTCTCTCCCGCTTTATTTCTGCTTAGCTTCAAATACTGTAATTTACATATTTGTTTTGTTTATTGTCTGCTCTGTTTCCCCCCACTTGCATGTAAACTCTGTGAAGATTTGCTCATTGATGAATTCAAAGATATGAAACAGTGCAACCTGTTTAGCAAGCATTTAATAAATGTTTGCTCAGTGAATGAATGAATGAAGAATACCAGAGGACAGAAGGAAAGAAACAACTGGAAAGGAAGAAACTGCAGTTGCTGTAGACAGAGGGGGTTGATTACGAGATCAAGATTCCAGAGGACCTGGAGGAAAAGGGGCAGCTCTGCCTTCCATACTGAAAGTAGAGCTTAGGAGGTACCCCTCGAGAGTAAGTTATTTTGAAAAGCAGAGAAAACAGATGAGCGAACTGAAACCAATTGACCATTATCTACTCAATAAAATAGGAAACAAAATTGCAAGATTCTTCGAACTGACCACCATAGTGACCCCTGTGACCCACACACACACCTCTAGATGGACTCCTGGAGCCTGAAAGTCTGAGTCAACTTTGTGACACTGGACCCTGTAGCCTGATTTACCGACCTTTCAACATTCCATCATTGTTTTGCCTCAACTGATAAGCCAACCTTGTGACAATGGACCTTGGACCTTGTGACATCCCTCCCCCCCAGGTGACATCCCCCACCTCCCGGCTTGCAAAAACCCTGAACTGTAACTTCTGTAACTTTCCACTGTCTACCCCAAACCTATAAAACCAACTCCTATCCCACTGCCCTCTGCTAAGTCTTTTCAGACTCAGCCTACCCACACCCAGGTGAATAAACAGCCATGTTGCTCACACAAAGCCTGTTTAGGTGGTCTCTTCATTCAGAGCATGCCTAACAAAAATATCCCAGCTAAAAAGGATTACAATGGTTGGTGTGAAGAAGGTGTCAGAAAATTAACACAAGATGAAAAATGATTGTTAATTACCTGTTTGAAATTAGTGTATATATTTTAGTGGGCCTGGTCTTCATGGTTTTATAATTTTTTCAATAAATGATCATGGCATGAACAAGGCTATTAATCTGAGCTAATGAAGTAGGAGTCTGCTTGCCACCTGTAAATACTGTGGAAGTTTTGTTTTTTCATTTATTAATTTAACATTCAGGGATTCCATGTGACCACCTATAAAGAATGAGAATAAAGATGAACAAAATAGATGTGGTTCCCGCCCTTCTGAAGCTTAACACCTCTCTAGGTAGGGAGACAGACATTAACAATCACACATATATTATTAAAACTAAGATCTTAAAGTACTATGATGAAAAAGGCAGAGGCAGAAGAGCACAGTGGTGCAAAATGCCAGTAAGGAGAGTCAAGCTTTATACTTGGGAACAAAACACCAATTTTCCATTTTGGAAAGAAGAAAAGCCTGAGTCAAAGTCTGCTGACTGGGAAAATAAATTAAGGAGAGAAAAGAGAGTCTACCTGTTTTGGACAGCATGTAGCTTCACTGTGACTTTGTGGGAGGTATGGAACCTGGGTGCCTCGGACCAGGCATGAGAGCTGGCCAGTGAGGCTGGGCCAGGAAAAGAAGCTGGTATTCAGGTACCCTGAGCCAGGGTTGCCCAAAACAACGAAGATTCTACACATGAGTGTGGTCCAGAAAATCAGCAAAATAGGTTTTAGATTTAGAAGCAGTAGGTTCAACCCCTTAACAGAGAGACTGCATCTGTTGAAATGATATTTGATTGTAAATAACAAAAATCTTGCCATATAGTGGCTGGAGCAAGAAGTGGGTTTCTATTTCTTTCTGATGCCACAGCTCCACAGTGATGTTTTATTTAAACTTATGCTCCTTCTATTTCTCCATGCTTCATGTGTGACTTTTGTTCCTTGTGCCTGTCATCTCACTTAACTTGGGATGGCAACTCCAGCATCATTTCTTTATTATAGGTAGGGCAAAGAAGAATGACAAAAGGCATGTAACCACTCAAATTTGCCCCTATCAAAGAGCAATCCAGGAAGCATCACCAAGGAATTTTCACTGACATTTCCCAGGCCAGACCATGTTAAATAGCCACTCAGAGCTGCAAAGAAAGCATGCTGCAGCTAAACAAAATGAGAGTTCTGCTAATGAGGATAAAAGAGAGAATTTGTAATCAGTTTTCTTGAAGTATAATAAACTAAACCTATAGGAAATATACATGTGGATGAATGTATATACCACAGATGTATAAACCACAGTCAAGATACAGAACATTCCCATAACTCCTAGAGCTTCGTCTTATCCCTTTGTTGTCAATCCCTCCTTCTACCTGCAGCTTTTAGGTAACCTCTGATCTGTTTTCTGTCACAATAGATTAGTCTGCATATTCTAGCATCTTTAACAAATGCAGCCATACAGTATGTACTTTTGTGTCTCACTTCTTTCACTCCATATAATGTTTTAAAATTTATATGTGTTGTTGCATGTAGCAATACTTTGTTCCTTTTTACTGCTGAGTACTATTCTGCTTTGTATATTTCACATTTGTTTATCCATTTACTTGTTGGTGTGCATTTGGTATATTTTCAATTTTTGGACATTGCA